GAAAAAGGAGGCGGGTTCCCCGCAACAGCTGTTTCCTCTCTGCTCCGGTGCGTTGCCATTTCGGTTTAAATGTCTAGATAGAGTGACGGGGTGGCGGAGGAGCCTTCCCCTTTACCACGTGAGCGCCTGGAAACGCGCCCCGGACTCACCACCAACGACTCCGTTTAGCCCGCACCCCGCTCGAGGTCGGGGGGCAGCGAAGCCGCGCAGAAGCCGCTCGTGCGGAGCCCCGTCCCGGGGCGGGCTCCCCGCGGAGGGGGCGGGCTCGGTCGGTGCGGTTCACCGACGCCGTTTCCCGGGAGCTCGCTGCTGTGGTCTGTGCGCTGTGCGGAGGGTCGCCTTTTCATTTATTTTCTGTGCTCTGTGCGGTGTAATTCTCTGATTACAGTTCGAAGTCTCGGGAGGAGTGTCGGTCAGGTTGGCCACGCTTGGGCATTTCCTTTCGTTTGCGCTCATTCTGAGGACGGGCACAGAAGGTGCGCTGACTCTCACTGAGCTCTTCGCCTCCCGTCAGGTGCGTTGAGTTCCTCGCCGCCGTTTAGACTCAGGTCTGCCGGGTTTGCAGGCGCTGCTCTGGAGGACGTCGGCAAGGCCTGGAAGAGAAGGTAAACCGAGCCCTTTAGTGACGGTGTGACGTTCAGACTGCAGACCGGAACACGTGTCCGCTGTGTCTGCCCTACGAATTTTCTCGTTATATATATATTTTTAAAGAATCCTCTCTGTTTTCTAAACAGACTGCAAATGGTGTGCGTGTGTATCATGAACCGAATGAGCGCCCAGAGCAGCGGCTTCACGCAGCGCCGGCGCATGGCCCTGGGCATCGTCATTCTCCTCCTGGTGGATGTGATCTGGGTCGCATCCTCAGAACTCACTTCGGTACGTGGCGCTGGCCTTGGAACGATGCTCCATTGTAATGACAGCATCCCGCTTCCTCTGTCGGATCTCTAGTCATTACTCTCTCTCATGCTCACTGAAAGCAGCGTTTTGAATATGGTTGAATTATTTATGTTTTCTTTGATACTGAATTAGAGTGAAGTTGAAGCTGAAAGGATACTCTTCGTTGTTTCATACAAGTTTCTTGTGTCTTTCAGGGGTTGTTTAGAAAGCGAGTATATGCATGTTTTCTTAATATTTGAAGCTGTGTGTGTGTGTGTGTGTGTGTTTCTACGTTCAGTTTATTTCTCGGTAAATGCTATTTTTAGGGGAACAACCATCTAGGATGCAAAACCATTTGTCACCATTTAGTAGAATGTAAGAATGCTTTTGGACAAGTGAGTGGAAGTGATCAGAGTTGTAATGTACAGCTCACTGTTGTGCACAGGCATGATTGTTGCATGTACCTTTATCTGCTGGTTCAAACATTACTATAAAGTACAGTGATTGCCTTTAGTTAAATTTTTTTAAAATATATTTTTATTGATTTTAGAGAGGAAGTGAGAGGGAGAGATAGAAACATCACTGATGAGAGAGAATCATTGCTTATCGGCCTCCTGCATGCCCCCTACTGGGGATGGAGCCTACAACCTGGGCATGTGCCCTTGACTGGAATCCAACCGGGACCCTTCAGTCCATAGGCTGATGGATGCTCTCTATCCAGGAGGCAAACCAGCTATGGCTGTATTTTTTTTTTTTTATTGATGACCTATTGGCAGTATCATGGTATTTTGAATTCACAAGCTAGTTTTTCTCTCTACTTGTGCAGTTACTTTATTCTATTTGGTTAGTGATCCCTATAAAAAGACAAGCAATTTTATTTTCAGAAATTACTGTATTTAAACTTGCATGTTGCAATCACAAGGCTAATATACAAAAATAAACTAGAATTTATAAAATGGCCTGAAATGTCAGAAGAAGCCATTTGATACTACTGGTCATCTCACATCATAGCTAAGTAAATAGTTGCCATTGACATTGTATCTAATGATTAAATAAATTTTTAGTCTTTTTGGAATTAGGCTCTGGAGTAAAACAGGCCATTTATTTTTAACTCTTCTATACCCCTCACTCTTCTATAACCTTTTCAGATTAATATTCTGTTTTAAATACAAAAAAAACCTCTTTAGTGTTGACAGAGAAATAAGCCTATCTTTAACACGTTAAGCGCCAGTCAGTCACCAGTGACTGACACTATACTTTCTGTCCAGAAGACAAAACAGTCTGGGCGCTTAACCAAGCTGGGTGTTAAACTTTTATTTTAGTTTAAGTAGTTTGATTTCTTATTTATCAGGCAAGAAAATTTACAGCAAAAGAGCACCTGATTAAATTATAATTTAGCAATCCATACCTAAGCAAAGTAAAAAACAAACACAAAAAACTTGTCCCTATTTTTTTTGTGTGTGTGTCCCTATTTTTTAAAAAGTAAAATCTGTTACTAAGAGGATATTTTATAATTTCATTATCCAAGAGCATATGTAATGTGTCTAATTCTTCAGTACAGATATGCTTATCAAGCTTTTGAAATTAAAAATTATATATGTAAAAAAAAATCAGCCTGGCTGGTGTGACTCAGTTCAGTGATTGAGCGTTGACCTATGAACCAGGAGGTCACGGTTCTATTCCCGGTCAGGACACATGCCTGGGTTGTGGCTCGAACCCCAGTGAGGGGCATGCAGGGAGCAGCTGATCAATGATTCTCTCTCATCGTTGATGTTTCTAACTCTCTCTCCTTCTCCCTTCCTCTCTGAAATCAATAAAAAATATTTTTTAAAAAGAAAATCAATCTTTTTATTATGGAAAACATCTAATATATACAGAGTAGAAAGAAGTATAATGAATTTTCATGTGCCCACAATTTACTTTTAACAATTGTCAAATTTTGCCGATCTTATTAACCTCTGATTTCATGTAAAAATTCTTTTATATTCATCTCAAACTGAAAATGACTTAATTTTTAAAAATATAATCACCATGCTATTAACATACCTAACAAAATTAACTACAATTCCTTAAATATGGATATCCAGTCCATATTTAAATTTCTTTGGTTATGTCAAGGAAATTTTTTTAGTTTAAGATCTAAACAAAAGATCACACATTTCATTTGTTATAATTCTTAAGTCATTTTTATTCTTTTGCTATATTCCCCTATGCCCCTCCCTTTATCATGCCATTGATTTGTTGGAGAAACTGTATCATTTTTCCTGTAGGATGGATTACACTGTCAGTCTGTTTGGGGTGCTTTGGCAGAACCACCAATAGTCTGGGTGCTTTGGCAGAACCACCAATAGGCTGTGTGGCTCAAGCAACAAACGTTTATTTCTCACAGTTATGAAGGCTCAAAAGACAATGGTCAAGATGAAGGCAGATTCTGCCTGGTGTAGAGCTGCTTCCTCGTTCTTGGTGGCAGTCTTCTCACTGTGTCCTCACAAGGCAGAACTCTCTAGATTCTTTTTATGTGGAACTAATCTCATTCATCAGGGCTCTACCCACCGGCCCCACCTTCTAATGTCACTATATTGGAGGTTAGTTAGGATTTTAACATGAATTTTGGGGGGACCCAAGCATTTAGTCCATAACACATTCTGGATTTGACTGATTGCATCCTTGGGGTGTCATTTAACTTGCTCCTCTTTTTTATCCTATATAATAAAATCCTAATATGCTAAATGTCTGACTGTTCGACTGTTCAACCAGTCGCTATGACGCGCACTGTCCACCAAGGGGCAGACACTCTGACCCGTAGGTTAGCTTGCTGCTGGGGTCCATCCAATCAGGACTGGGCGAGACAGGCCGGACTTGTCCTGGAGCCCTCCTGCGCTCCCTTTCCAGCCCTGATCATGCACTGGTGGGGTCCCTTGGCCTGGCCCACGCCCTCTTGCAATCCGGGACCCCTCAGGGATGTCGGAGAACTGGTTACGGCCTGATCCCCACAGGCCAGGCTGAGGGACCCCACCGGTGCACGAATCCATGCACTGGCCCTCTAGTTTCCTATAAAATGGTAGATAGGTGTACAGTCTTGATTTGATTCAGTTTCAGTATTTAGGAAAAAATACCTTGGTGGTACTGGGCACTTCCTTGCATATCACAACATGAGGCACATAATGGCTGCAAGTCTTACCATGGGTAATGCCAGTATGAGAACTATAAAGTTCCTTATCAACCTCTAAGTAATAGTTGAATATCCTTATGATTATTGCCCAATAGGGTATTTCATTAGAAGTGGTAAAGTGGTGATTTTTCTAAGGGTCATTCCTTCTGCATTTATTAGCTGGAATTCTGTAAGGAAGACTTTTTCACAACTACTGTTTGGTTATCCTGAAACATGGTTTATAGAAAAAATGTTGGATAAATCTTGATTCTGTTTCTTTATCCATTTAAAAATAATGTTGCCTAGCAACTTCCAGTGGTAACTATTGAGGGTTTTTTGAGTATCTTTATACATGCATAGATTTTTGTAGACTTGAAGCTTCAAACAGTTGTAGTTATTTCTTTTGACACTTAAAGTTTCCTATCTTTGACCACGAGGAGCCCCTTCATGTTGTCTCTAATACCCTTTTAACATGATCTCTTTAATCTTTAAAATCCTATCTGCTTTCTGGCACAAGATACCCCAGGCTCATCTGGTACATTTCCTGCCTCATACATGGATGTAGTCATTTCTTCAATAACGTATGGTTCAGATCACTATCTGGATTCTAGGGGTGCCCATTCCTCCAGGGTTGTCATTTTTTCTGGGTCTTTCAGTGCAGATAACTAAAACTTTTTTTAGGAAAGGAAACATCATGAGTCCATACTGATATTTCCGTTTTAAACAAAGATTACATATTTTGTATAATTTCCTAATAACTTTAAATTTCATGCAGTTTTCTTCATACACCATTCCATTTCATTGCCTGTTACTTTGGGATAACTGTTCAGGCAGCGCAAGAATGGTTTCTTTTAGGAAACTTCCATAATCTTTAAAATGGCCTGTCTCCTTTGCTATTCCCATGGTACCCTCTATACCCCTGTCATGGTTTTTAGCACGTTGTGATGTGTGCTCTCCTTTCAAGAAAGCCTGTCTTATTTTTCTTTAGCTTCTAGCATAAATACTATTGCATAGTAGGTTTTCAGTGAATGTAGAACAGAATTTGTTTTTGCCAAGTTGTTCATGCTTTGTTTGGGTATGTTATCCTTTTTTTTTTCAAGGCAAATTCTGTATTATATTCAGAAATGAATCTAAAACATTTTTATAATCCCTCGAGTTTTCTTTTCCAAATGAACTTTTAGAGTTAAAAATCATGTAATGGCTTTCTTTTATTGGAGATAAGTAATTAGCTTTAAAGTGATCTCATAGTTTATGTAACTTTTTTCTCTCTAGTATGTTTTTACTCAGTACAATAAACCATTCTTCAGCACCTTTGCAAAAACATCGATGTTTGTTCTGTACCTTCTGGGCTTTATTATTTGGAAGCCATGGAGACAACAGTGTACAAGAGGATTTCGAGGAAAGCATGCTGCTTTTGTAAGTTTTCAATTTTAAATGTTTGTTGGAGACAGATATAGTTTTTCAAAGTTTAAAGATGTATTAGTTTCTTGAAGGACAGTCCAATTTTCAATTGTTCAGTTAAGTGAGTGAACATAGCATATTATAAGAAAAACCTACTTTTGTCCAAAACTTTAAATGTATTCTTTTAATCACCTTCGTATCAGAATATCTTGTGAGAAATCAAAGGTATATAATCACCCTCTTTTCTTTATCTCATGACATCCTCTGAGTTGTCAAACATTTTTGAACTAGCCTAAATCATTTAATGTGGAGATGATGATGAAAGTAAGGAAGAAGAAGAATATCTGGATCTCTGATCTTTTGTAGACTGGATGATTATCATCTAATTGGTTATAACATTGCTTGTAAAAGCAAAATTATTCAAGGTTTATTTGTGAAAATGAAAATAGCATATTTCAGGGCATGTTTCAGATATTTGGCTAATCAAATTATGTTCTTTCAGTGCTGATTCATAGAAATAGAAACTGAAGTTTTGAGAATGAAGAATATAACGCTGTCTCAATTTTTTTATTCTCTCCCCTTTTCTTTTTAAAATTGTGGTAAAATATACATAACATCAAATTTATCATTTTAACCTTTTTTAAAAATATATTTTGATTTTTTTACAGAGAGGAAGGGAGAGGGATAGAGAGTGAGAAACATCGATGAGAGAGAAACATTGATCAGCTGCCTCCTGCACACTCCCTACTGGAGATGTGCCCGCAACCAAGGTACATGCCCTTGACCAGAATTGAACCTGGGACCCTTGAGTCTGCAGGTTGACGCTCTATCCACTGAGACAAACTGGTTAGGGCTTAACCATTTTTTTTTCTTTCTCCCTTTTTTGTGGGAGATTATATATATATAAAACAAAAGTTCCTATTTGAAACATTTTTATTTTATTTTTAAAATATATTTTTATTGATTTCAGAGAGGAAGGGGAAGGGAGAGAGACATAGAAACATCAGTGATGAGAAAGAATCATTGATTGGCTGCCTCCTGCATGCCCCTTACTGGTGATCGAGCCCGCAGTCTGGGCATGTGTCCGTTACTGGAATTGAACCTGAGACCCTTCAGTTTGCAGGCTGACGCTCTATCCACTGAGCCAAACCAGCTAGGGCAATTGGAAACATTTTAAAAAGTATATAGTTCAGTGGCAGTAAATATTTTGCTGTGCAAACATCACCACTATCCACTCCAGAACTTTTTCATCATTCCAAACAGAAACACTGCCTATTAAACAACTCCCATGTCCCTCCTCCTTTCCTTCCCTGGTTAGTACTGTTTTACTTTCTGTCTCTGTCACTCCTATTCTTTTGTCTGCTATTTTTTTGTGTAGGTTAAAATACTATTATATCTTGTCTTATCTAATGAGTACATTCTTGAGAAATACAGTCATTTGATTTTTATCAGGGGATTTTCAGTAACTTTTTGAGGTAAAGCCTGGAAGTATACACTTATATGTGCACAAAAATTGAACTTTTATGAAAAAAGTGTGTGCATATATATTATTTTTAAGAGGAATATATAGACATAGAGACATATATATATTATAGTATTACATGTAGGAATGTTATATGTATATGAATACATGTACATTATCAAAAATTTAGAAAATATAGTCAAAAAATAATAAATTCTACCATTCAAGGAATAATTCTACCATTCAAGGAATGAATTCTACCATTCATTGACAGTATTTTGGCATATATCCTGCAGTTTTTTTTCATGTGTGCATTTGTTTCATTTTTCACAAAAGTGAAATTTACTGTTATGTCCTGTTTTATAACTTATCATGAACAACTTTCTATGAAATTTAGTATTACTAGAACATTCTTTAATATTAAAGATTTTTTGAATGTAGTAGTGATAAATATTCATTGTTGAAGACAAATTATAGTAAGAAGAAGAACAATAATTTATCCACAATCTCACCATTCTAAGGCCACTATAAATATTTGATATTTTCTATAGCTATATATTTATGTAATAATACTTAAAATTATTTATAGCAGAAATAAGTTTAGTCTTATAGTTATACCTAACTTATATCTCTGTTAGCAGTATATGAGATTGAATCCTTACCAAAACCCTAACATTTGCCAACTTGATTAAGTGATCAGTGGCATCTTGTGTAGTATGCATGGTATGGGTTACTCTTTAATATATTTGTTGCACAATAGAATTCTTTTATCAGTTGTCTATATGTCTTGTCCATTTTTCTACATTGACTTTTTCTTATTGATATACAAGCATTCTTAATAGCATGGGCTTTGTATTTGAATCTTGTTCTGTCACTGCTGATTGTGTGACCTTGGGCAAGTTATTTAACCTCTAGCGACTAAGCAAGGATAATGATAGGGTAGCTGTGGGTATGAATAAAAGCCTGCTTATACACCACTAGCACCGTGCTTCTCAGAACGTGGTCCAGCCGCTGAGATCAATTTATGGAATTTTTGATTAATACTGTTATCATGATAATACGAAGATGTTATTTGTCTTTTTGACTAACCACTCACTTTCCTTTCCCTGCTAATCTGAAATATTATAATAGTATTGTGAAAGGAGCATACATTTTGGAGTTAGACCTACTTGGGTTTAATCCTAACTCTTGTTACTTAGATAAAATCTCTCAGTCTCTTTAAAATGAAGATAATACCAACCTTGCATGGTTGAATACTGACCATTAGCTGCTATTATTGTTAATAATAGTTATATTATTATAGATCTTCTCTGGTTTTTCTATTCTTTTAAGCTGTGACTGACACTAGTCCTACTTTATCATGAGTTTAATTGAATTTTTTGTCCTGTTATCTGTAGTTTGCAGATGCTGAAGGTTATTTTGCTGCTTGCACAACAGATACAACAATGAATAGCTCTTTGGTAAGTGCTTCTTTTTTTGTCAGGAATGGAGCAGAGGGAGGTGAGCCGTAGTGGGAAGGACTGAAAGCTACATTAGAATATATATAAATATTGGGTGCCCTCCATGATTATTTTAGCTTGGTACTCTCTTTCTTTAGGGACACCCGGAGCCAAAACATAAGCTATTCAACTACTACAGGGGAGAGAAGGGGAGGGAAATAGTTAAGAAGGGAAAATAGTGATGGGCAGCCCTTTGTTTCTTAAAAGCTTTGTCACTTCGTGTTTATTATTATACTAGAGGCCCAGTGCATGAAATTCGTGTACGGGGGCGGGGGGGTCACCCAGCCAGGGAGCCCTTTGGGGATGTCCAACTGATGGCTTAGGCCTGCTCCCCGTGGGAAGCAGGGGGCAGCTCCTGTGTTGAGCGTTTGCCCCCTGGTGGTCAGTGTGCATCAATTATATAGGATTATTATCACTTAGAAACACATGTATTTGCTTGACACTGAGAATTTTTAAGCAGATTTTTCATTAGTCCCATAAATTTTTTAAGAGTGCTTAATCTGTATTAAGCACTTGTTTTTTACTCTGGAAATATAGTTTACATTCTAGTAGTGAGAGCATAAGTTTGGAAAGGAGAAGGAGACAGATAATAAGCAGATAAAGTAATGCATTTACTTATATTAGGCATTTATAATCTCATTGGAGAGATAATATATTAAAATATTTATTTAGACCATCACTAAAACATTTTTTAATGTATTGTTCAAAATGTGGCATTTTGTCTGAGAAGAATTTTAAAGTTGCTCTAAAATTTAATACAAATTTATATGCATTAGCTTGGTTTTTTGTTTGCCCGGCTTCTAGAACTACATTTGTATTCAAGGTAGATTACAAGGTGCTGTGAAAAGTTTTTGAAGCTTAGGGAAAATGTCATCTCATTTCTCTGGGATCATAAGCATCAACAAAGTATTATCAGTTGTCTCTTTCAGTGTAGAAAGCAGAGCTAAGATGGCAGCCTACTCTTCTAGCTACTCTTCTACTAATTTTTTTAAAAATATATTTTATTGATTTTTTTTTTTTTTTACAGAGAGGAAGGGAGAGGGATAGAGAGTTAGAAACATCAGTGAGAGAGAAACATCGATCATGTGCCTCCTGCACACCTTCTACTGGGATGTGCCCATAACCAAGGTACATGCCCTTGACTGGAATCGAACCTGGGACCTTTCAGTCCGCAGGCCGATGCTCTATCCCCTGAACCAAACCGGTTAGGGCTCTTCTCCTAATTTTTGCTATTATCTTTAAGATAGATATGTCAAATCATTCTAGGCCAAATGCTGTAATGAAAAGTTCAATGTAACAAGAGACTACATCTGTTTCCAGATTCTATAGTCTCTTCATTTACTGAATAATTTTTGTTGGTGGAGTTCTATACCAGGAGTTAAAAGAGAAATCAAAGATATAAAACACAATGTTATGTTCATTTAAGAAACAGCTTGGTTGGAGAATTGTTTTTTAAATACGGATTATCTGAACAATTTTTGCAAAAACAGTTGAGGACTTTAAAACGACTTAAAAATATCGATCTTTAGAACATGTTAGACAAACCTGGCTTAATTCTGTTGTCTACCCCTGGGTTATTATATCTCAGCTTCTAGAAAAGTTATTTAAAATACCATTTTATAAGGTAGTTTCAAGGGCTGATGAGAAATGTATGTTTAACTGCTCTGGACTTGGTACCTGGTACATAGCAAGAACTGGTAAGTTGTAGCTTTTTTTTTTTTTTCGTGTCAATGCTAAAAAAGTTTTCAGGAATTTTTGGTTTTAGTTGAATCTTAAGTAATAAGAGAAAACAACTTGGCAAATATATATACATATTATATAGGTGATTATTTGTTCACTGTCTGCCTTCCCCTTTGGACTATATGATCACTGAGGACACTTTGTTCACTCTTATATTCTCAGGAAGTAGGACAGCACCTGACACATTGGGACTCAACATGTATTTATTAAAATAATGAGTGAAAAGGAATGGGAGGTAATCTGTTAATTGAAAGATGGGTCTGCTTTTATGACATTTAAATGTTAAGTATTATAAGATACCAATGCGGTATTATTACACTTACAAACTTGAAACTGGTTCTTTTCTGTCATTGTACCTATGTGCATCGTTTGAATTTCTCCTTCAAGTCTTGAAAATGCATTTTGGGTAAATTATGCTGTGAAAACATGGTGGTGAACAGCCATGTTTTGAGTGGTATCTGTGCCTACAAACCATCCACTTAAATTTTACCACTGTATCAGCTATTACGTATTTGTTTCTGTTTGTTTCTGTTTCTGGTATGTTCCAGAGTGAACCTCTGTATGTTCCTGTGAAATTTCATGATCTTCCCAGTGAAAAACCTGAGAACACAAATATTGATACTGAAAAAAGTAAGCAAAACTTAGAATTTCATATCTTAGATATGGGTGGAAATCTTAGCTTCATTCAAGCCATCCCAAAACTTAGTGATTTTTGAGATCACTTGACAGTTGTCTGTTCACATGGTATTGGCTTCGCCGCCTGTAGTCTTCCAGAAATATGACTGGAGTTTTTATTAATTCAACTGGAAATAATTCCCAAATATCAGAAGTCTCTGTGCTTTATATATATATACTTCTTTTCTTAATGAACAATATTCTCTTCAACCATGCCATCAAAAAAACTTGATAGCCAGTTATAGGAATTTTGCTGGTTCTGTGAATTTAGTAAAGACTGCCAGCTTCAACATAAGGCACAGTATTTATCCATGATGTTCTTTTGCAATGAATGGACCTATAGAGGAATATTCTGTATTCTTGAATGGAAACTAATTCTCATAAATTGATTATCTATGAGGGAAAATCCAAAGTTTTACTATAAATACTAAAATAATAATCTAATCTAATAAAAGAGAAACATGCAAATTGACTGTACCTCCGCTACGCCCAAGCCATGCCCACCAGCCAATCAGAGTGACTATATGCAAATTAACCCAACCAAGATGGCGGCCGGCAGCCACAGAGCTGGAGCAAGCTGGAGGCTTGGTTGCCCCGGCGATGGAGGAAGCTAAGCTTCCCACCTGCTCTGGCCGGCTGTGGCCTCTGCTAAAGGCAACAAAGTTTCAGTTATAGAAGATAAATAAATCCCAGATACCTGCTTCCAACCAGCCTCCACTGGGAGCTTGGATGGCTGGAAGGTGTGGCCAGACTGCAAACAGCCATCAGCCACTCACCCAGGTGGCCAGGCACCCCAGCAGGATATCCCTCCCTGAAAGGGGTGTGGCCAGCCTGAAAACGGCCCTCAGCCCCTCACCCAGGCTGGCCAAGCACTCCAGCGGGGTCCCCCACCCTGATCCGGGACACCCTTCAGGGCAAACCAGCCAGCCCCCACCCATGCACCAGGCCTCTATCTTATATAATAGAAGGGTAATATGCTAATTAACCCTAACAGCAGAACAACTGGGAATGACTGGTCACTATGACACACACTGATCACCAGAGGGCTCAATGCAGGAGCTGCCCTCCTGGTGGTCAATGTGCTCCCACAGGGGGAGCTCTGCTCAGCCACAAGCCAGGCTGATGGCTGCCAGGACAGCAGTGGTGGTGGGAGCCTCTCCTGCCTCCTCAGCAGTGCTAAGGATGTCCAACTGCAGCTTAGGCCTGCTCCCCAATGGCAAGTGGACATCCCTTGAGGGCTCCCGGGCTTCCAGAGGGATGTCTTACTGCCAGCTTAGGCCCAATCCCCTGGGGAGTGGGCCTAAGCTAGCAGGTGGTCATCCCCCGAGGGATCCCAGACTGCGAGAGGGCACAGGCCAGGCTGAGGGACCCCCCTGAGTGCACAAATTTTTGTGCACCAGGCCTCTAATCATACTATAATCCTGAACTAGGCAGTTGTGTATATATACAGTTGCAGAAATCTCGTTTGAATATTGGTCGTACCTTAAACCTTTAAAACATTTTTATAGATGTAAATGTTTTTTTCTGTTTACTTTTTTGAATGAGCAACCTGCCTCAGGTGATGATATAAATGGTTTTTCTTTGACTGTTCAAGTCTGGTCATAGATGGATTAAATAATATGCTTTTATTAGTAAATTAAAATGTGACTTTTGTTGGATGTGAGGAGAAATGTTTAATGATTTGTACTATACTTTTTCTTTTAAGCTCCCAAAAAGTCTCGTGTAAGGTTCAGTAATATCATGGAGATTCGACAGCTTCCATCAAGCCATGCATTGGAAGCTAAGTTGTCTCGCATGTCATATCCTACTGTGAAAGAACAAGAATCCATACTCAAAGCTGTGGGGAAACTTACTGCAACTCAAGTGGCAAAAATTAGCTTTTTTTTTTGCTTTGTGGTATGTCTTCTGTTTATTATACTTTTATTATATGTTTGGACCTTGAATTTTAAGACAGTATACACACCAACTATACTATTGTAGTGTAAAATTTTTAGGTTGCTTAATCATGGCTTTAAACTCTGCTGTCTAGCATCATTGGGGAATTAAAGTATTGAACTTAAATGCTTGTCACACCTCAAAGAATTTAATATTTTAACACTACAACTACTCATATATTCAGAATTGCCATTGCCTCATGGTCAGAATAATGAATAGAGTTAATTTACACTATGCTATGTATATGGACTAGTAAATATCCAGCTAAGAGTTTTCTGTATACATTGATCTCTTCAAATAGGGGTTTAACAAGTTTATATTAAATTCATGTAAATATGGTCAAATTTATTGGGATGGCATCTATATATATAAAAGCCTAAGTGACCCTTACGACTGAATGACAGAACGATCAGTCGAGCAGTTGCTATGACATGCCCTGACCACCATGGGGCAGATGCTCAACACAGGCGCTGCTCTCTGGTGGTCAGTGCACTCCCACAGCCAACCTCCTGTGGCGGACCAACCTCCTGCGATCCCTCCCTCCCAACCGGCTGGCCCCGATCGCCCCTATAGGGTCTGGGCAAGATGACCCTGATCAGCCCCAATCGCCAGCGAGGCCGAGGGACCCCACCTGTGCATGAATTCATGCACCGGGCCTCTAGTTGGTTAATAAGATCATAGAGGTTTCAAGTGTACATTTCTATGATACATGACCTGTATATTGCATTATGTGCCACCACCCACAGTCAAATCGTGTTCTGTCACCAATACTTGTTATTATCTGTCTTGTTGATAATAACCATTCTAAAAGGTGTGAGGTAGTATCTTATTGTAGTTTTGGTTTGCATTTCCCCAATAGCTAGTGAAATTGAACATCTTTTCATATATCTTCTGGACTTTGTATGTCTTCTTGGGAGAGGTGTCTGTTCACATTTTCTGCTCATTTTTTTATTGGATTGTTTGGTGTTGAGTTGTATGAGTGCTTTATATATGTATTTTGGATATCAATCCCTTGTCGGAGCTGTTGTTTGCAAATATCACCTCCCATTTGGTTGGTTGCATTTTGTTTTGTTGGAAGTTTCTATTCCTTTGTAGAAGCTTTTGCCCTTCCCTTGCCTTTGGGGTCAGATTTATAAAGTGTTCTCTAAGATTTGGGTCCTTAAGTTTAGTACCTATGTTTTCGTCTATGCAATTTATCATTTCAAGTCTTATATTTAGGTCTTTGATTCATTTTGAACTAATTTTTGTACATAGGGACAAACTAATCTAGTTTCAGTTTTTGTATGTGGCTTTCCAATTTTCCCAGCACCATTTATTGAAGAGGCTTTCTTTTCTCCATTGTGTGATTTTGCCTCCTTTTTCAAAAATTATTTGCCTATATACATGTGGTTTTATTTCTGGGCTCTCAATTCTGTTCTCCTGGTCTGTATGTTGTTTTTCTGCCAATACCATGTTGTTTTGATTATTGTAGCTCTGTAGTGTAATGTGAAGTCAGTATGATAGGTCTGGCCTCAGTCTTTTTTCTCAGGATTGCTTTGTCTATTAGGTCTTTTGTGGTTCCATATAAGTCTGATGATTTTTTGTTCTCTTTCTTTAAAAAATGATATTGGGGCCCAACTGGTGTCGCTTGGTGGTTGAGTGTTGACCTATGAACCAGGAGGTCACAGTTCAATTTCTGGTCAGGGCACGTGCCCAGGTTGTGGTCTCAATCCCCAATGGGGGGTGTACAGGAGGCAGCCAACCAGTAATTCTCTCGCATCATTGATGTTTCTATTTCTCTCTCCATTTCCCTTCCTCTCTGAAATCAATAAAAATATATTTTTTAAAAATGACACTGGGACCCTGACCCATGTTGCACAGTGGTTAGAGAGTCAGCCCATCCACCAAAGGGTTGCGGGTTCGATTCCCAGTCAAGGACATGTACCTGGGTTGCAGATTTGATCCTTGGTTGGGGTGTGTGCAGGAGGCAACCAATCAGTGTGTCTCTCTCACATCAGTGTTTCTCTCTTTCTCTCTCTCCTTTCCTCCCTCCCTTCTACTCTCTCTAAAAACCAATGAAGAAAATATCTTCGGTGAGGATTCACAACAACAAAAAAGACATTGGGATTTTGATGGGGATTGCATTAAATCTGTATATTGCTTTGAGTAATATGGCTATTTTAACTATGTTATTCTTCCAATCCTTGAACATGGAATATCTTTCCATTTCATTATGTAGTTTTCAATTTCTTTTAATAATGTTTTATATTTTTCAGTATATAAGTTCCTCACATCCTTTGTTAAATTTATTCCTAGATATTTTATTCTTTTTGTTGCAATTGCAAAAGGAATATTTTTGTTTCATTTCTTTTTCTGAAGTTTCATTGTTAGTATATAGGAAAGCAGTAGGTTTTTGTTCATTGATTTTGTATCCTATAACTTTATTTGTTTATTGTTTCTAATAGTTTTTATGGTGGAGTATTTAGGCTTTTCAATATACAGAATTGTGTCATCTACAAAGAGTGACACTTTAACTTCTTCATTCCCAATTTGGATGCCTTTTCTTTCTTTTGCCTGATTGCTCTGGCAAAGACTTTCAGAAATATGTATATATAAAAGGCTAATATGCTAAGTGTCTGTCCAACTGGTAGCTATGACGCACACTGACTACCAGGGGGCAGACACTCAACGCAGGAGTTATTGAGCTGCAGTGACTTGGCAGCGGTGGTTCTTGGGTGACACACTCGGAAACCAGAGAGGAGGGAGCCCAATTCCTCATGGGGCTGCACGATGCCACCTTCAGCCGTGGGTTATGTTGTTCCTGGGGCACTCTTGGTACCCAATCTGGTTTACTGCAGGCTTGTGTTTGCGAACGACAGCAACTTTGCAGAGTGCCCTCTCGCACTCTGGGACCCCTTGGGGGAATGCTGGAGAGCCAGTTTCAGCCCGATCCCCACAGGCCAGGCTAAGGGACCCCACCTGCTGGAGGGACCCCTGCTCACTCCGCAGATGCCCTTCAAGCCATGGTGCTGCCCCAGGTGCAGCCAGCCAGGGAGGAACTGCAGGAGGTTGGCTCCAGGGCGTGTCCGCCCATCTTGCCCAGTCCCACCCCACCAGCCACCTTCTAATCAATTTCCTTTCAATGTGCCCAAATCTGTACACGGGGTCACTAGTGTTGAATAAGAGTGGTGTGAGTGAGCACCCTTGTCTTTTTTTCTGATTTTAGAGGAAAAACATTCAGTTTTTCATCATTGAGTATGATACTGGCTTAGGGTTTGTGATACATGGCCTTTATTATGTTGAGCTACTTTCCTTCTATACCCATTTTATTGAGTGTTGTATCTTATCAAATGAATAAATGAATGTTGTATCTTATCAAATGCTTTTTCTGCATCTATTGATACGATCATATGATTTTTATTCTTCGTTTTGTTAAGTTGGAGTATTACATTGATTGATTTGTGTATGTTGAACCATCTTTGTGTCTGTGGAATGAACCCCATTTGATCGCAATGCATTATTTTTTTTAATGTATTGTTGTATTCCTTTTGTTAGTGTTTTGTTTAGGATTTTTGCCTCAGTATTCATCAGAGATTTTGTTCTGTAGTGTTCTTTTTTTTGTTATCCGTGCCAGGTTTTGGTTCAGGGTTATGTTGGCTTTATAAAATATGTTAGTAAGTATTGCCTTTTCTTCAATTTCTTGGAAGAGTTTGAGAAGGCTAGGGTCTTTGAATGTCTGATAGAATTCACTAGTGGAGCCCTTCGATCCTGCACTTTGATTTTGTAGGAGGTTTTTGATGTTTGTTCCAATTTCCTTACTGTTGATCAGTCTATTTAGATTTTCCAATTCTTCTTGATTCAGTCTAGGAAGGTTATATATTTCTAGGAACTTATCCATTGCTTCCTAGTTACCGAATTTGGTAGCACGTAGTCTTTTATAGTATTCTAGTGTGTTCCTTTGTATATTTGTGATGTCTGTGGTAACTTCTTTTTCATTTCTGAATTTGTTTATATGAGTTCCCTTTTTTTCTTAGTGTACAGAGTCAGGTCTTGTTAATATTAATAATATTTTTTTAAAGAATCAGCTCTTTGTTGTATTAATTTTTCATATAGTCTTTTGTTCTCTATTTCATTCAATTCTCCAATTTTTATTTCTTTTCTTCTACTGACTTTGGGTTGTTTTTGTTCTTTTTCTAGTTCTTTAAGATATAATTTAGGTTGTTTACTTGGGATTTCTTTTTTTTTTTTTTAAATATATTTTTATTGATTTTTTACAGAGAGGAAGGGAGAGAGAAAGTTAGAAACATCGAAAACATCAATCAGCTGCCTCTCACACACCTCCCACTGGGGATGTGCCCGCAACCAAGGCACATGCCCTTGACCGG